ACGTGTATCAGAATGTTACTGATAGTCTCCACTCCTTTTTGTACCATCTTAGTATTTAATATTTTTTTTAAAAACTTGCAAAATATTGAAATATATGAAAATATATGTCGAGCTTTGAAAAAACTCACCAACAGTGATCTCTGTCTTCAAAATGCTATTGGCAACAAAATAGAAAAACCTAAACAAATGATAGAATAAATTCATTCTCACTACGAAGAAAGTTACTCCCACACGCGGCTCTGCTACTTTTTACTTCTTTTCTGTCCTTGGAAAAAAACATACTTGAAGCTGTTTTTTTATTATTTTACCAACATACGATTGAACAACAAAGTACACAGAGATGGCTGAAGAAACAATTCAGTTATCCCGTTTCTAACGGGCGAAGTCAAGTTGACGAACACAATTCATTTTAAAAAAATTTTAAAAGCTCTTTTAACTAATTATCAAATAAAATTCAATTAGACTTCGATGCAGGTATGAGTGAGGATACAGATGCGGGCGCCGAATAGGGTTTGGGTGTGGGTGTGAGTGTGAGTGTGGTAGTGGATGTGCGGATGCGAATCAACAAATGATCAACAGGCACACCTACACCCTCAAGATTCTATTTCTCACTGATACAAAGGATCGAGCCCCACACATATACCGTTTATTCGATACAACATCCTCGATAACCCCAGGATCGTCCTGAACATGAGTGGTAGTTGCTCAAGCAATAAGAAAGACAAGGTTTCCTTAAACCTAATTAATCAAAAAGCAGACCAATCAGATTGGGAGACTTTAGTTCTCAGTGATAGAAAGGGCAGAGGTCCACACATATATCCCTCCTTCGATAGAGCACCCTCGATAACCCTAGGACTGGTCCAAACATCACTATTCGTTGTCCGTGCAACAAGAAAGAAACGGCCTTCTGAAGTCTGATTGGTGAAAAACTGGATGAATGACGTAGATGGAGTTAGCAGCGGATTCGAGTAATTTCAGCGGCGATTCGTTCAACGACCTGGTTCAAATCTCCTATTTTCGGTTCAAGTAGAACTCGATGAGCTCTATCCAATGGTGCAATCAGATTTTCCATAGCCCAAACTATGATCCCAAAAATCTCGAAATACTAGTATTTTGGTATTGAAACTTTGGCAGCCGATTCGAGTAATTCCAGCAGCGATTCACCCAACGACCTGGTCCAAGTCTCCTATTCTCGGTCGAAGTACAACTCAACGAGCTCTATCCAACGGTATGCTCAGATGGGTGTGGGTGGGTGGGTGTGGGTGTGGGGATGGATGTGGGTGGGTGGGTGGGTGTGGGTGTGGGTAGGTGTGTGTGGGTGTGAGTGGGTGTGAGTGTGAGGTGTGAAGTGTGGGGATGGATATGGGTGTGGGTGGATGTGGGTGTGGGTGGGTGTGGGTGTGGGGTGTGGATGTGAGTGTGAGGGTGTGTGTGGGAGTGGGTGTGGGTGTGAGAGTGGGTGTGGGTGTGGGTGTGAGTGTGGGTGTGGGTGTACGTGTGCGTGTAGATTTAGTTGATATAAGCACCTGCACCCATACCAACATCTCGCCCCCATCCTCGCCGCCACAAGCACACCCACACCCACACCCACACCCATACCC